GTCTCCCCTAAACACTGAACATCCTTAATTTTACCTCTTTGGGGACATATACTGTGTGGTCCGCTGGACTCAACAACACTGGAATCGACTCAATGGGCCGGCTGCATTTCGAGTAGAGGGGCCGTGGCTGACTCCACCCTGCACCACTCACAGTGCCCACTATGACGCTGGGCACAGTAGGTCTTCAACACGAATCTGACAAATGCAAAAGAAGGCTAGGCACTCGGGCCATCTGATGACGTGCTTGGAATGGCGCTCCAGCCTGGAAGAGGCAGCTCTCATCAGCTGAGAAGACTCAATATCCTACTGTGCATTTGGTGTGACCTTTCTTTTTAAATTTTACTATGAATTATGCTATAGAAAATATTTAAGGTTTGGAAATGACGATCACCTGTGTACATTCTTCTGCGAGCTTAATCATGAAAAAAGGCAAAGTCGTGATCGACAAAGTAATGCCTGAGGCACCTGCTGGTGGCATCATTCCAGTGCCAACCACCTGCACTTTATTCCCCAGACCATCGTTCGTAGGTATATCTCCCTAGGCCCACCCAAGGCACCCGTCAAACACTGCGTGGCCCCCTGCCTGACTTAATTTCTTAGAAGATGTTACTGGACCCTGTCTACTGACAAAAACTACCTCCTGTAATGTGAGTGGTACGGGCCAGTTTTTAAAAAGGGAATTTTTACTTTTTAATCTAACTCAGGAACACACTGGCTTAAGTGTGTTGTCTTGTTTTAAGTACTACTTTCAGAGATTAAATTTTCAATTCTCCAGTTCTTCAAACATCAATAATTTCTCAGGACCAATGGAAAAACTGCCCTGATGGCCACACGCCTGAAATTTTATCACTGACCATGAAGAAATGTACTTCATAGCGACTATACAAATCATTCCTCATTGGAAGAAAGATATTATATAATTCTAAGTACTGTTATGGGTAAAATACAAATTTATTAAAAGATGACATTCAAGAATGAACCTGAAAATATTCTCATCCCCAGCCTGTTTTGCTAGGTACAGAAGACTATTTGGATGGTGGTCCATACTGTGAATATTTCATCCATAGAATATAGAGAGCTTCCATTAGAACAAGAGAAAAAAACCTATAGTCTGGAGAACAAAAGCTAAGAGTTCCAAGTTTTAGTGACCATGTTTCCCATAGGGCTATTGTATCAGAAGAGTAATACTATATTTTTTTTCCATTCACAGATGGAAAAGAGTAAAATTTAGCTTTATTTAAGCCCAATAGCAATAACCTTGCAAGGGTTTCAGAAAAATGATACACATTTTACTGTGGGATAATGAGGACCATTAGTTATTAGGGAGAACAAATTATTCTCTTGCAATTCAACAGACTTATTCATTCCCTCATTTAATAGACTATCCTCTCTCCTTTTCACTAAAACGACCTTCCTATACAGAACACCTGGCCGTGCAACATGCCACCAGACAGACTTCAGGAGGTACCTTGACGGGGAGAAATAGAGAATTTCCAAAGTGAAGCCACAGGATAAAACCAACACTTGATGCTTGCCTTTCATTTCAAGGAAAGCAGTATAAAAGCCACAGAAAAAGAGGTAGTGGAAATATATAGCTGCTCTCCACAAAAGAGTCTTAAAATGAAAAATCTTGAACTTAATAATTTTCCTAAATGAAATTATGCCATTATTTCTGATTTCTTTGTACTAACGAAAAGGACAATGTATCAAACTTCACTGAAGTTTCAACACTGTAATACGTTTCATTAATCAAAGATAAAAAATACATTAAAAGCAAAAGAATTATTTTATGTCTGTGATTAGGCAGTTGGAGGGCTTGTAGTTTATGTATACATTTGCAGACTTCAACTTATTTAACGGTGTCAGTTCACTAACTGCAGTTTTTTTATATAAAGAAAACAGATTTAGAACTTTAAAAACAAATTACAGTAATTTTATGCCTGCAGCTTGCACCTCTTAGAAACCATGCACCCCCTAACACTCCCCTTACTTTCTCACCACTTTCCTATCTCCTCCCTTCGCCTCTAAAACCACAGGCTAAGTGAGAACTGGTAACAGGGCCCTGAAATCCCCTAGTGAAGAGTGGCCACCCTCATTTTCACTCGGGCTGGAGGAATAAAGGACACAGATCAAAATGCAGCTCCCCAATAGGGCAGGGGGCAAACACCCACAAGGATCTGCCTGACGAGCTTCAATGTTGTCTACAGATCTTCCTGCTGACCGGCACCTGCCGCCCTGCACTTCATTACTGTGGACCCTCCCATGAGGAAAGAGGGAGACAGAAAGGCCTAGGACATTTCCTACAAATGTTGAAAGGTACGTGGACACCACTGGGGACGGCAGGGACTGAGGTGGGAGGAGGTAGACTGCACAGTGATGACAGCCTCATGTGTTTTCAGCAGAAAAACTGCTGTCAAGTAGCCGAAGAGAAAAATGGGAGAAAAGATACAAGGGGGAGCGGCAGCAGCTCCTTCAGGGCCAAAAACACAGGCCCTTCAGGCAGCTTGAAGTGGCTACCTGGCACCAAGAGCTTTCCGGTGATGGCGCAGGAGAGCTGGGGCTGTGTGGGGACCACCATAAGCATGAAGGGGCCCCTCTGTAGACTGAGACTGGTCAGTAATAACACGAACCCTCTGAACGGGGGCCCACTAGGCTACTGGCTTTGAAAATCATTTGTGAAAACTGGACTCCTAAGACAGCTGTAATTATGAGCAAGTTGGTTTTTAAGCAAGTCAAAATCTGCACACTGTTTAATTTATATAAAAGTGATCTTCAATATGACCCCAGAACCAATGACATCAGTCTGGTCTCCTCCTGGCACCTGTCCACCGGCCAGGCTCCACTACCATTATTCTCTAGCTCTTTTGCTAAAATACAAGGCTCCACACTTATATCTGTTAAGTGTCCTTCACGATATGGGGTTTGTTCCATCTATCCCTCCTCAGCTCTGGGCCCCCAGGAAATTAAGAACCAAAGAAAGAGATGGGCAACAGTGAGCCTTTGGACCAGGTTCTTGATGATACCGATGGAAAACCTGGAAGATCTACTCTAAAAACACAAATGCTTTTGCTCAGGGCTTTTCAGCAGTGTGGGGGTTCGCAGTTGGGAGAGGAGGGAGCACAAGGAAGATGACGCTCCCATGCCTTCACGTCCACGCCGCCCCACTCCCGGCTGAGGATGAGTGTCATGGCCTCTCAGAGCTAAGAAGAGGCAGTGGTTACAAGCACAAACTTTGGAGTCACAGAGAGCAAGGTCCCAGTCCAACCACAGTTGGCCACTTACCAGCCATGTGACAAGACCAAGTTAGTTACCTCTCTAAGCCTCAGCTTTCTTCTCTATACAATGGAGGAAATACAACAGGTCCTCATGGGGTTATTGAAAGGATGAAATGAGACAACATATGCAAAGTACTTATTACAGTTTCTGATAGAGTAAGCACTCGAGGCAGGAGAGAAAAAAGAAGGAAGCTAAAAAATATTGTGCACTTACACTCCCTCCTCCCAGCTGAGGATTTATAAACATCATCAAATACAACTCAACTTTGAGAATACATTATATGATGATTTGGGTAGCAGAATTTTGTCTTCCTAATTATGTTTTGCTTAGGCAAATGTCAGAAATGAGTTTCCACTTCCAGAGCAGACACTGATGGGAGAGTGGAGACAGTGGGGGGCTGGGGGGGAGGAGCTCAGAAACATATTCAGTGTGGAAAATATGTGACTTGATGACTCTTCTGTCCAATCTCAATCCACAAATGCACTCTGACCACTAACGACATGCAAATCTTAAGGACTGGGGGAGTTGGGACATATTAATGCAGAAGCCTGGCAGGGGGCTGGAGCATGGCCACAACCGGCACTTGGTGAGCACCGCCCCCCAGGCCTGTGCGGAGCATCTCTCCACTACCTAACCACTCTGTCAGAGCAACTCTAATTTATGACACCAGAAGCCAAGGCTGAGAGCAAGCTCTAGAGGCTTGCCAAAGCCACAGAGCTTGTGAACAAGAGAACCAGAGTTTGAATCTAGACCCCAAAGACACCAAAGGTCATGTCTTAAGCCACATTTTCCAATGAGAGGAAGGGAAGAATTTTCCATGAAGCAGGGACAGATTTAGTGATGCCATATTTAGGGGACCCTGAATACACTAAGGAAGATGTCAGGCTAGAAATACAGGTTGGAGCTAGAAAGTTAGTCTATAACTGCCAAAGTCAGAGACTGAAAGCTGTCAGTGACATCTGGACTGTACTTATAGATAGGGAGGGGCCAGCTATTCTGAAAATCTTCATCTCTGTGTACAATGGGATAGAGAGTGGAGACCTTAAGGCAGTGTAACTCTTAACATGCTGGTCGTCTAGGAATGAAATCAGGACTGGTTATGAAATATATTTCTAAGTAGGAGATGATAATCTGGTGACATGGCTTTGAGGTTTCAGGGTTGGCTGGCACCACCACAGAAGATGAGAAATTAGGCACCAACTAACTCCTAAAAGATAACAAGTCCAGTTTTAGAAGACATTTTAAAAAACAAGAGCAGGATACTCAAAAGGGAATCGAATACTAAAGAAGTTAAACTTCTTTTACTTTTTACTTCATATGAAAACACACTGAGAGACTGAGACAAGATGAAACAATAATCAAGATACAATGAATCTCATTATTAATGGAAGCTCACTGATTAAAGCCACAATGGTGTAAGCTCAGAGGCTAGAACAGCACCTAAAATGTTCTCTTATCCTTTCTTTCGCCTTCTCTCTCCCCTGAGCATCAGCTGACTGAGTGCCTACTCTGGCATGTGCTTACATAGGTAGCAAGTTTGTGGGGTTCTTAGTCTAGCAGGGGAGACAGACATTAACCACACAAGCACAAAAATAAATGCCCAACTATAAATGAAGACGTGCTCAACAAAGCACTGTGCCTCTGAACCAGGCTCACGATAGTCCAGGGAGGACCGCGCGTGCTGCTGCCGCCTGGTGATGAACTAGGTGAGCTCGGACACTTACCTAACCACGTTGCAATGAGGACAGCATCAATTCCGTCTATTGGCTCACAGATTCGAGACACGACTGGGTGGATCTGCTGGGCCAGGTAGTACTGGGTGTCAATGGTTAAATTGTCCTGCTTCTGTAGCTGCTCGGGTGCATAGGCCCTCTGACCCGCAGTGAGGTTTGACCCATCCTACAAGAGGACAGGGTACAGGGAAAGCTGTGAGAAATTCAATCACACACACTGGCTTGGTCAAAAAGGGGGACAACAATTCCAATTTTATATATTCAATTCCAAATACCAAGAAGTCCTTTTGACCTATTGGTGAACATTTCATATGCATCTAACAGTAGGAAGATCAAGGAGAACAGCTCACCCACTGTCCAAGAATGTAAATCCAGCATGTGTTGTGTTCTATTTTTTGTTGAAACACGAAACCAACAAGATGGCATGACTAGATTAAATAATTCCACCTGCCATATCACAGAAACACACCGAGAAGACCTGCTAACAAAGGCCTTTTAGGAGTTATGATAAAAACAAAACATGTGTGACCCTTTTTTATTATGTTAATGTAATCCCTCCGTGCAAGAATTTCAGCCATAGCATCATCTTAAAGATGAGGTGTGTGTCTCTATCTCTTGATGAGAGCTAGCTGTATCACTGTGATGCAAATGACAGGGGAACAAAGCCCAAGAGTGGTAACTTATGTACAAGATATAATAAAGTTAAGGACATCTCCTTGGTAGACTAGAGTGCTCTAGAAGCAAAATGTTTGGCCAATGGAATGAAGGGCATATCATTTTGTGCTGTTTGCATGGCCCTTCCTCAAGGAAAGGCAGGTGGGTCAGACAGCCTCTTTTCAAGGGCTTCCTCTTTACTCTCTAAAAATAAAAGTTATGAAATTCTATATAATTGGCCCACATACAGTCCTGTGGGTGATGTCACCATGATCAACAAGCGATCACTCTACTGGACTAATATCCAACTACTCACTCCACTCTTTTCCCTTGTCTGCAACAACAGAATGTAATATTCAGATTCGGAAATTATAACTATTCACAGTGCTCAGCTGCTCTGCAAAACTGATTATAATGTGAATCCTATTCTTTCATTCCTGCTACAATCAGTCCCTTCTCAGCACAGCGCCCAGCCCAAAGCAGAGGCAACCTTCCTGTACCGCTGTCTTACCAGAAACTGGAGGCAGCGGCCTCTTTCTCTGGCCAGGCCCCGGATGGAAATAAACTGGGTTATTTATCAACTAGACTCTTTCTATGCTAAGACATAATGAAATAACTAGAAAGGAAGCAAATCTCAGATTCAAAGACTTGCTTTTAATTATTTTTCAGGAGTTCACAATACAGGAGAAGAAATTAGGCAGAATTAATCAACTTTAATTGTTGCCTTTTTAGAAGTTTGAATTGTTAGATGAGAGGAAGGTGACAGCCAATGACAAAAAGAGTGAAAAATCCTTGGGCACTGTCTTTATGCACCATAACTGAATCAGACTGCCTTTTAACAAGCACATGAACTCTGATTGATTTATAGAATTGTATTGTTTTTTAAAACTGATCTGTCCTTAAGGTTACAGTAATGTTGAGCTTGATGATTTTTAATAATGAGTAAAAATCAAATTTGTAGAGGCAAATTTTTTTTCCCAAAGCGTTCGAATTACTTTCCAGTATTCATTAGATGTTCTCATGTAAGGTATGTCTGTAAAAAAAGAAGCAGGTGAAAATTTCTAAGCATAGTCTTTAAATATCCACACAAAAGACTAGTTTTAACAGTGACTCAAACATATTTCCTATTGAATTTTAAAAATCTGAGCTTAAACATGACTAAATTCAAAAGAATTGCTAAGATGACAGGTTTCCCTGTGTTCTGTTGAAGAAACATTTGGGCTATGACATAAGATATATCCCTCAGAGACCTAATCCTCAAACCTAGCAAGATCCCACGGAATGTACAAAAACACGTGACATACACCGTTAAGAAGCAATGCTTGTCTTCTTTGAAGTGCCCATATAGTAATTTGGGAACTTCACAAAGTACATACTTTACAGAGACAACCAGATGCAGTCAACTCATTCAAAACTGTGTAGTCATCTTTAGAAGAAAACTAACGGAAAAAAAATTTTTTGCCAGGTGACCAGAGGGCCCCTTAAATCAATTATATTAAAAGCATGCCTTATGAAAATGATGTTCAATGAAAGTTAAATAATTAAGGATTTAAAACTTAACCAGCAAGTGGAAGTGGACTTATGATCTCAACGAATAATTCACACAGGTTTTAGAAGATTACGAACTACAACATAAATTACAGACCAAAAACACTACTCTCTGAACTAATCTGAATTTATAGTCTGAATAAGTTATCAATAGAGTAGAGCACTATATTCAAAATGTAAATTTTAAACAAAACAGAACCGGTTTTAGAGACAGGCTATTCTTAGAGGGCACCCTTGCTTACAGTAGCAAATAGTTCTGTTAAAAATGTGTCATCATACATTTTCAAAAACACATTCTAAAAATGTTGGTTGTGTTAGGAAAGAGAGTAATTTGAGTGCTTAAAAGCAAAAGAGGTAGGCAGCTTTGGTTAGCAAACATGCTGAAAGTGGGCAGGTCCCACTGCTAGGGGACAAAGGCAAATTCGAGTCCTACAGCTTTTCTTGGGATATAGTGAGAAAAATAAATCAATGAAAGAAACATGAACTGTTCTTTTAACAAGCAAGCGAGTCAAGATTCAGCACCAGTTAAATGGGGAAAGGGGTAAAAATACACCAAACTGGATTTACTGTACTACACGGCATTTTGAGCTTTTCTTTTATCGTTAAGACCTGAAAAGAAGGAATCAAAAGACCTAATATTTGGACATCAAGGAACATAAGCCTGACTTTTAAATACATCAATCACATGACCACGCATCTCCATTCCAGGTTTAGCCAAAACATAATTGTAGCTTGATTTCATTTTCAGATGCTGTTTCACAGAACCTACATCATTTTTAAAAGTTATATGCTGCCATCTGCTCCTGTCACTAATAGATTAATCTGAGAGCTTTTTCATGTATGTGAAGATATAAGTGAAAAAAAAAACTAGCCTATTTACCAAAATCTTTATTTGCATAATATGAAAATTGTTTTTTTTTTGAGATTAGACTTGTCAGAGGCAATATGCAAAGCACATTAAGGGCTTGAGCGAGTCAGACATTTATGGAAATATTTTCCTGCAGGAATTGGCTTTCTGTAACAGTTCTTAATCAAGGGTAACCCTAGGAGGGAGACAGAGTCAAGTGCTGATTCCTGTCCATGTACTTAGATCATTTGTTATGTACATCATCTACAGTACTGAGCAGATATTAGCAGATGACTTTTAAATTCTGAAGACTCTCTGATTTTAAAACACATTGTAGTTTGACAGAGATCAATCACATTGCAGTGAAGTTTAAGGCTTATATAGTTTTTTTAGTATAATAACAAAACGCAATAATTAATTAAAAAGAAGCAGTCTTATTCAGATGGTAAATAGACCATAGCACAGTAATTGTAAAGAATCTGGATAGAGGTTTGGCTTTGACTTTTTTTTGTTAAAGAGGGAGAAGGGATGAGACCTCTCCTTTGTTTCAACTGGAGTTAAGTGCTTTCAAAGGGGAAAAAAAAAGCTCTTCTGTCCTACTCTTTCTCCTCATCCCTGTTAGAGACACACTACATGCTACACTCAAGAAACTGACTAGGGGTTTAAAACTGTTCTAGAAGCCTTAGAAGTTCCTTAGAGGTGAAACAGGGAGAAGTCAAAGAGGTGGGTTCTAGGCTCCCTCCACTCAAAATAAAGTCAGAAAAGGAACTGGTTAGATAATCTGTGTTTTCTTCATAAGGCATGTTTTTAGGATCTCTTACCTTTCTCCATACAATCATGCATTTCATATTTTTTAAGTAATTATGTGAACACAGGCCAGTGAAAAATGCATTTGCTCTCTTTACCAATATTCACAGTGGAACCTGATGCAAAAGGAATGATAAAGGAGTATTGCTGGATATATGGCCAAACTGCGACACACTGTCACTCACATTAACTTGCGGCTGCGACAGTGGCTACTGTTACAAAGCTGCCTCACCAAAACAATTTCACTGGTCTTAAATGTGTTATGAAAATTTTAATGAAGTATAGTCATATCCCTGACTACTGTTTCTAAATGCTGTGAAACCAACCAAGACCAAACCCTCTCTGCAGAGCATCAATTACTTGGAAGAGCACTAAGACACTGCGCTCACACGGACCCCAGCACGGGCTCTTCAGCGCTAGGAGACGCTCATTCATTATGACAGTTGTACCTGACAGATGACGTACGACACAGTGTCTCCAGCTTTCATTTTTCTGCCTCCTTGAGAATTTATCCAGAGGGCAACATGGACGTGAGGTAGGCTTTTTTTATCAGGGTAATCCTGGGGATCCTTTGTCAATGCCTAAAAGAGAAAAAGAGGGAACAAAAAGCCTCAAACTTTAAAATAAAGCCCTTCTTGAGCAGACACACACTAAATACCTCTTTGCTAGAATCATACCAGCCACCTGAATACAAAAATGACAGAAGCGGTAGGTACAAAACCCTGCCATGGAAGCTTAAGCCATTCTATCCTCCAGGCTCCTCTCTCCTTCACTGAGGAACTAATATAACCAGATGTAACCCTGACAAAAAAGAAGTAAGAATTTCTGGGCCATGGCACATAATAGTCGGATATAAAAATTAAGGGGATAAATTCAGTCTCTTATACAGCCTGAGTTTCTCCTAATGTTTGCACTTCTCTCACTGAATTAACTGATTAGTTAAGACTGATGGATAACGGTTACTCTGATTTAATGATCTGTTTCTCAAAGGTTTCTCGAGCCTAAATAAATCCCAAAGGCACCAGAAATCACTGGATTTACTCACACTGTCAACTTAAGCTCTCCGAAGGCAGGCTGAGTGAGTTTGAAACAGAAAGTAAGCCCCACGAGAGCAGGAACGCGTCAGCCTCGCTCACAGCTGCACTCAGTGCTCAGAATGACTCTTGGCGTGCAGCAGCAACCAAATGCTTGCAGAAGAAATTATTTTGCTCACGCTGCAATAATTCACTAAGTTCAAGCACTGTAAAGTACCACAAGATGAGTAAGACGGTCACTGGTCCTAAGTCATCTGCTATTCGTAGACGACTCCTTGTTCCGCAAAAAAACAAAGCAAAACAAAACAAAAACGCCTCTCTAAAATAAGCTACAAGTGCCAGAAGGGAGATGTGAACAAAGTGTTTATGGAGAGTTTAGAGAGGCAAAGATCACTTCCATCCGAGAGCAGAAATCATGGAAGAAAAAGAACAAGTTGGCACATGAAGGAAAAAACCGATTTTAAGAAAAGATAACAGGGGCAAGAACACTCAAGCAGAGAGAAAAAGCAGAAGTTAAAAGCAAGAGGTGAGGAAAAATACAGTCTACTGGACTGGAACTCAATATGCACAAAGGGAAGGAGGAGGATTTCTAGCTCTGTGAGGGGTGGGTTTCAAAAGACAAGAGAAGGACAAGGAATAGCATGCTGTGTGTCCAGATCACGAAATGTGGTTCCCAACAACCTTTCAGGGAGTCAGAATGATTTTCCCAACAATACTACTCGCACTAGTGATGCAGAAGCAGTGGTCAGTAAAGGTGCCGATGCCTTATACACATGAACCTGGACAGCAGCACCAAACTGCGCTAATCGTCATTGTAGTCTTCACCACCAGTTTTTTTAACCTCTTGAACCTTGAGTACAAAACTAAAATTTTGTGACAAAATGGGATGTATGCACAAGGCATAACCATTGTAGACTGAAGAACAAAGGTTGCTCCAAGAAATGCACTTGTGCAGTTGTTTGAGTTGCAAGCTAAACTAGCTGCCTTTTTCACAGAACACAACTTTTACTTGAAAGAATGACAGGCCGAGTACTGTTACTCTGACTTGTGTATCTGGCAATCACTCAAAAAAGAACCAAGTAAGCCTGCCATTTCAAGGAAAACACCTGACAGTATACATTGCCTACGATAAACCTGAAGCTACCAGGCACAAATTAGAATTTTGGAAAATTTGTTTCTACTTCTGTGAGCTTGACAACTTCCCAATACTTAAAAGATTTTTCTGGTGATATATATAGGAATATTCTAAAATGTGGTTTTTGATAATGCACAATGAAACATATCATTATTTGGAACATCTGTAAAACTCAGGGACCAGACATTTAATAAATGAACGATGTATAATATCATGTATGGGAAAAATACCATTCAAAGCACCACACAAAGAGGTTTTAATGTAACAGAGTATGAAAAGTTCACCGATACAGTTTCATATTTCCACATTACAAATAGCTTTTAAGAAAATACCACTTATTATAAAAGAGTAGCAGTGTAGAATCAAGGAACAAACCACGATCTCAAAAAATTACTGAAATACTGCTCCTTTTGCCAACTACATATTTGTGTGAAACTGGATATTCTTCCTATACTTCAACCAACACCACACATCACAACAGAGTGGATGCCCAACCAGACACGAGAATCCAGGTGTCTGGACATTAAAGAGATTTGCAAAATTGCAAAATGACATAATTTCTCTAATTTCTCTTCATTTTGAAATATATAGTTTTTTTCATGGAGAAATTGTATTTTTGCAATTACATAATGGGTTTATTGATTTTTAAATAAGTTAATAAATGCTTTTTAATTTTGCTGTTTTAATTTCTAACAGTAAATATCAGTGTGAGCTATAGACACAAAAGCTCTTGCAGTCCTCAATTATTTTAAGAGTGTGAAATGTCCTGAGACCAGGAAAGGTGAGAATTCTGTCATAGAATAAAGCAGGTTCTCCCACACGGCTGCACACCCTGGGTTATGTACTTTCTAAATCACATACTCAGTAGAGGAGAGTGCCTAGGAGATTCTCCAAGTATTTGAATCTCCTCAAACCTGCATTATGCGAAGTCTTGATTGACTTGGATGGGTAATACTGCACAGAAATCTTAATCAATATAACTCTACTTAAGAAAACCGTTATCTTCTTCAATTGACTATACTTCAATGCAATGTTAAGAAATTCTGAATTTCATCTGACATACTTTCCAGTTATTAGATTGGGGCTATTTGGAGATTTTACAAGATAGTTTTAGAAGGCTTGATTTTTCTTAAAAAATGCTTCCTGGCGGTTTAGGCTCAAGTTAGCCAGGGCTATATGAACCAACTGTGAAGTATTTTGTGTTACTTTATGAAATATATTTATGCTAAGATTGCAGTAGTTCAGAAAATCACACACAGTGTCTTTCAGTTGCTTTGGGCAACAAGGGCGGAAATCTCTATGAAGGTAGATCTCACCACATTACCCCTCCACCCTAGGCTTACCTTCCATTTTCAAGCTCTATCAGTATCACAAAATCACTCAATCTACCTACCTACCTATCTACATTCTATTCTAAGACCATCCACAACCAGTCGCATACATACTCTTCGATTTCACTCTCCTTTGAAAATGACAAAATGTAAAAACTGAATTACTCACAAGTTTTACATAGTACAAGTATTCAGACAAATGTTAATCAACACAGTCACTTTTGATATATAAATAGTTTAATGTAAACAGGCATAGGAATAACTATTACATAAACAATCCTTTCATCAGACTTTACTGTATTTATGTCAACACTGCAGAAATTCTTCTTTATAAAAAAAGTGTAAGAGCATGGGGTAGTAAGTACCTTTGTTAGACTATAAGCATCTTGAAAATACCAACCATGTTTTGCTTATTCAACTTTATATCCCAGAATCTAGCACTGTGTGCACATGTTTGATGAATGGATGATTAAAGCAAAGGAATTCTTTTAGCGCTCACTGAACAACTATTATTTGCCAGCTACTATGCCAAGTGAAATAGAAAATATAAAGACAGTAAGTCACAGTTTCAGTTCTGCCACAGAAAAGTGTATGCACAGCACTGACCACTAAGTATTAACTAGTACTGTTATTATTAATGATAGTGTCACTATAAGTTGATCATTACTGGAGCTCAGTGATGGATCCATGGGTGTTCATGATGCTATTCTCTTTACTTCTGTATAAGCTTAAAAATTTTGACAATAGGAACTTCAAATAGCAAGACTGTAGACTGTTCAACAGAACTCAGAGACTGCCAATGTGTCTATGAGTTGAGTTTCTCAGCACACTAGTGATACTGTGTCATCATCCACGTGAGAGGATGACAACATGGGCCCATGACCCAAGAGGACATGTATTCAGTGTTCTTTTGCCAATAGTGTGGTCATATTTGGGCTCAGCCTTCCAAACTTGTGCCTGGAATCCCTGGCAACATAGTGCCCACATATCTAAGAAGGTAGACAGTGTTGGGGACACCATCTGCATAATTGATGCAAAAACTGATCAAAGCAAGACTGAGGTAGTAACTCTTATTCATGCAAATTTTTGACAGACACAGTAAAATCTGAACAGAAACTACTCTCTAGTGTCACAAGTGATTCCATGCCAGTAGGCATACAGTGCATCACTTAAAGTGAAGAGCTAGTCCCAAGGTACACGTCTTCTTATATTTCTAATTTTTTGTATATTTCATATATAAATGAATGTCTTCTTTTGTGATGTTAAAGACGTCACGGTTAAGAGGTAGGAAACAAATGACTTACCTAAGAATAAACACAAATTGTAAGGATATACATAGAAAATATTCATTCTCTCTAGGAATCAAATAAATGCAAATTAAATCCAATGGTAAAATACAGTTTCATATCCACTATGGTAGCAACATCTTACTTAAACATGAACAGTGATAGTATCACCAATGAAATATCACCACTACAAGCAAATCAGCAAATCTGTGGTGAAACTGGCACATAAATTTTGTTATTATCAACTGTTATTACTCTTTTGCCAAGCAATCTGGCAAGAGCCATACAGATCTTCTTATCTTTTGACTCAAATATTTCCCTTTAAGGAACCTAAACTAAGATAGCAATTCATCCAAAAGTAAAAAAGGCAAATGAATAAAGATGTTCAATACAGTTATTTACAATAGCAATAATGTCCATAATCAAGCAAAAATTTTTAAAGATGTACCAGGGAAATATAAAATTAGCAGGATGATTTTTAAGATTAATACAGAAATGTAGAAAAATCTGTTCATGTTAAGTGAAAACAAGTCTCAAAGTAATATACATTATAATTGCTGTCATGTAAAACTATATTTTAAAGAGTAAGGAAATGTGCAAATATGACAAGCATTACTTTAGTATAGGGGTGTTATGAATGAGTTTTAATTCTGAAACTTCCATTTAATGCCATCATGAGATTCTTTTTCATTAAAATTGCTTTTAGTATGAGCTTTGACAATAAAATCTGTTTATCACAAAATGGGTAAAATGGTATTTGCAAAATGAGCTGAATATGTAAGGATACTCTTTCTAAATGAAAAAGAGAAATCTGTAACCTAACATCTTGTATTACACAGCACTTTTGGAAACCGAGATTTTATTTTTCAAATTAGGTAAGAAAAAATATTCCCTATTTCAACAACTAAGACTAACCATAAAGTATAACTTATATAGGTTAAAAAAAAAAAAGCACAAGAGCTTTGAATATACAGAAAGTGCTAGCGCCATCTTAATTCTAAATAACAATGTCTAAAAATGCCTTCTGATTACAGTACCTCTAAGGATCATCTTCTGTAAAGTTACACAAACACACACCCCCTCTGTGTCTCTAAGCTTACAGGCCTGCCCCAGAAACAACTGTAACTGAGGAGGACTGTGAAGAAGGAAATGCTCTCCGGTCCCTGAAACACTAACACATGACTCCACAGAACCTCTGAACGCAGGGCTCCCACGACGTAAGTGAGGAACGGAGAGGGAGGGCCCGGCGACAGGCGGGGGTGCATCAGGGCTGGGCACAGAAGAGGGCAATGCTAATGCTCAATCTGTGAGATAGTTGTTAAGCAGCTAGATAAATAAATTCACAAGCTAGAATTTATTTCAATTGCAAGGATGAGGTGGTCCTTCAGCTATGTGAAGGAGGAGGAAACACACGGCAGCAGCTGGGCTCGGCAATAAATGCCACATTTACCTTGTTAATTTCAAACTGGCTCACTGGGACACTGCCATTTAGCACGTTTTCTCCAATTTCTATTAACCTCTTCTGAATGTTTTCCACTATAGTGTCCCGACTTTGATCCGAAAGAATCTGGCCAATGACAAAGCTGCACAAAAAAAAAAAAGGATTGATTTTTCGATATCATACTTTATTAATAAAGGAGAGAAAAGGAAGATAGATGTGATTAGATTAACATGTGGAGAAGAACTGGACTAAAAGCTAACATGAGGGTTAATGTCCAAAAGGCCATTAAGGCCATTACTATTTGTTTTTTAACATTAACTCTACCAAAGGTTGCCAACCTTGCAATGTCAGGTCTGCCCTTAAATACACAGATCTTTTTTTTTAAAAAATGAGGCAGCTAATGCTTCACACAAAATGTGGACAGAGAAAGGCATGTGTTCCATCGGATTTTTATGCAATTACAAAATTCCCAAGCAGTTCTATTCTCCGTGTAGGGTAAAATTTTAGAGGCTAAATATTTCACTTTCCTCATGAAGCACCAAGATATTATCTCTAATGTCAATCCACCTGAGATGACCATTGGCTAGGAAAATAGGAATATAAAGTTCTTTATGCAAATTTTTTAAAAACCCAAAGATTTCACTTTTCTCTCTTAAAAGCTTCATTATATTTCTCAGTGTTCTCGAACTGCATGCTATGCCTCAAAAACTTCATGTTGTTCTAACCAGACACCACCCCCCCGCCAAAATAAAAAGGAAAAAAAGGAGTAAGGAAGCCAATATTTTATCCATTTCTGAGAAAATGCAGAGCGAGGGTTTGACAGCTGCATTATAATTTGTGAGAAAAAGAACCCTGACAAAAACATTTGTATAGCTTTAATTACTAATACATTTCTAACTCAGAGAAATTTACTTCTATTATGATGCATCTTTTCTTAGAAAACACAAAGCTGAAGAGAACACTCTAATCGACAGTCTATACAAAGTAGTTTCATCTTTGGGTACGTTTGGGGGCAATGAAGCATTTCAAACTATATTTCACAAGAGGCTAACAGTGACCCAGACTCAGATGATCAACTCTGCCTAATGAAGAGTAGTTTTGCAGAAGCAACAATTGCTCAATCTCCCAACTTGAACACAAGAGGAAGACAGGTAAACAAGTAAAAACTGCTGGTATTCAGCAATAGTAAAATCAATTTAAAATTTTCCTTTCAAAAAAAATTCATCTATTTTCAGAATTGGTTAGGTTCACAAAGCAGGAATTACCTGGAAAGATGGTACAAAAAGCACCTAATGACTTGTCTTTTTAAGATGGGTGCTTTATAAATTAATGTAGCCCTAAAAACAAACAAACAGGTCTTCTTATCACAATCTTTAGTCTCGGGTGCAAAGCTAGGGGGTCGGTCATGACATTTATTATTTTGAAGGCACATATGGTATTTGAGAACTACCTCTTAAATTAACCTGGGATGAGTAAGAATCTTTACACACAAATGATACAGTTGGGGCCAAAGTCTCACTCCATGGCCCACTTTGAATCCTAGAACATTTTAAGCCACAACATGGGGACACTTTAACAATTACGATCCTAAGGAGGCACTAGGAAGATTCAGGAGCACAACACAAGGCATTTTTTAATAGAAACAGTATAGCAAAACAAAACAAAAACAAGCTAACATCAATGAAAAGTAATGTTGTAATCATGTAAAATGTTAACGTTTACCCTCACTGTGAGTTGAAACTCGTAAGGTGCATGTTACAGCAAGCATCTCTTACTAAACAAGTTTGGCTTTGTTTAAGTTTTATCCTATCTGTAAAATTCCACTCCAAGTTAAGTAACAATTGTTAATATGCAACGATAACAGTAACAAAAAAAAAAGTTGTGTACTTGTGCTTGGCAGAATCAAAGTGTTCTCCACGTCATTAATGCTTGAATTGTTTTAAAGAGAAAAAACAAAAGCAAAAACAAAAGCTGAACTCACTTTCCAGTGTCTTTAGCAAGATCACACCAATCTCTTCTAACTATATCTAATCCTTTCACCTCCTGTTTGGTGATGTAATTCCCATCCGATGTTGGCTCGACAACCAGAGCAGCGTATTTCTTTTTCTTCAACAGTAGCAGAGACTTAAAAATACCATCAATGTCTATTTCAAGCAGTTTGTACAACTTATTCACTTCACTTTTTACCTGTGAAAATTTCAACCATTAGTTAGTGCTAGCTTCTCAAACATCAAACAAGGAGAAGATGAACATTGCTACAAATTGCCAAGAGTTAATCTGAACAGAACTTGAAGTCACACAAGGCTAGAAGGCATTTACTTAGGTCATATGGGACATGATATTATATTGGGTATGATTCAAGAGCTTCAAAAAAGCACAGGGAGAAAAACAGACAAAAAGATAAATAGACAATAATATAAATATATCATCCCACTCAACCAAAAGATAGAACTGGCGGGCTCAGTCACAGGAAATTTATGAAAATTATCAAGTAGTCTTTTTTTAATCTAAAAACTGAATGTGTAAGTACTTACCTTCAAACTACTGAATCAGAGATTAGATAGTCTAACAACTAGACACATGGCCAATAAAACTTTGAGATTAAAATAGTGTCTAAGATCTCCCTATACCTCCCAAAGCACCTTGAATATAAGCAAATAACTCTCTGCTGAACAAATAAATGAACAGCTACTTGCTCTTTATTGACAAGGTCAAGGCACAGACTGTCACCTCTAGCGACGGTCCAATGAGTACAGTAATGTCAAGCCTGCTCTCAAGTAAAGACTATAGTTCAAATTTCACACATTTTACGGGGAAAAGACAGGAAGCTGTTAGGTTGTAAGATAGTATCTTAGTTTTAGTTTATTGGAACAACATCTAACATAGCAAGTGTTGAAGAAACACTTGCTAACTATGAACTGCAACTAGGAGGCTACAAATGATTATTTTTAAATGTCCCCTTGACTTTTCAAATATATTTTAAGCACTCCTGTAAAAATTACAGATGTATGTGTATTATGTATGTAGGTAGGTAGGTATTTATCCTTATCTATCACTGTATAAAATGCATCTGAATACTACTTGAGATGTATTTCTCCTTATGAATGACAATGTGGTAAGTTCCAACATGATCACATCTTAAACTGAGACTGTTTACAAAGGTAAAACATATCTATCACTTAAGGAAGAAAAAAATTCCTTTTGAATTTTGCCCTGAAAACAAACAACTGGAGCAAAAGTTAAGAAATATAAAAAAGGATGAAGAACTGAAGGCATTAAGTTCATTATTTTCAGGATACACAGGGACATGAACAGGAATTTATGAAGTTCCATGTAGACATGGAATTCATGAAAGCAGGTAAAATGGATAGTTTCATCAAATTATCTCACCTTGTTTCCCAGTTTAAATACTTCCTCCAGATTGGTACTATTGGTGTTTATCATAATTGAATCTGTATCTCCATAAATAACTTCAAGATTCATCTAATAAAAAGCAACAATTATGAAAGTTAATAAGTGACCATTACACACAGTGAAACTCAAGATTTCCCATACTATAGAAATTGCAGGTTCCAGATGAATTTTCAAAAGTCTGTGCTTATTCCTATCCATACCGTCACTGTACAATCGAAGACTAAACCCCAGTAAGCCAGAAAGGCTAGCACTGCCACATTAAGAAAATCTCCCTCATTTCCTTAAAACAAACAGAAGAGTGGCAGGGGAAATATTCACTTCCAAATGAATTAAAATGTGGGACTGAATAATATAAAGAAAGAGACGAGATGAGGGAAGTGACATCTATATTTACCCACTGTACCACAAACTTAGTGGTCACGACGATTTAGGAAGCAGAAACAAAATGGGTTTTTTTAAATTCAGGAGCACAAATCTGTATTAAATTCTTAACAGTTTCAAACAGTATTTAGTAGAATATGAAGAGTGCCAAAAAAAATCAATCATCACAAACAACAGTGGAGCACATACAGTATAAAGGCCTGGAAGTAAACTCTAATTAGCACTGTTACTAATTTGCTTGAAATACTCACATACAGGCTTCAAGCAGCGGCTAGATCATATCAGTGTTAGTAAAAGAAAAAGGCTATAATCCATTTGGAGGGATTATAAACGTAAACTAGGCATCCTAAGAAGCCATTTCCAGGCTGTCTGGGTTACAGTTTTCCTTGAATACAAAAGAATGTCATCAGCATTACCTTCTGTACCATCTCCTTTGTATGCATCAAAATCTAAATGAAATAAAAAAAAGTCAAGATTAATGCATTACAGAATTATAGAAACATAAATATAAGCCATTTAGAGATAGGTATGCCAATGATTTGTCATTTCCATACATTTTTAAAGCTCTTGACAGTTTTCTAACTACAACCCTCAAAACAACAACATCAACGTAATCTAAAAATCATTTTGCCTCTACGCTGGCTGTTAGCTGGAGATACATAAGCAGATTTAGTGTAAAGATCTATGTAAGAAGACCTATGTAAAGATCTATCTTTAATAAATATGCATAATAAAACATCCTTTTCTAATACGGCACAAAGGCAAACTATTCTCGGTATCAATATTTAAATAGAACTGCATGGCTAAAAACAAAGCTTGACAGAGCATTTCAAATCTGGCAATTCTTACAGTATTCAGGATCTTAAAAAGTTGAAAAAAATACATATATATGATTTAAATTTCTTCCTTAGACTAAACTTCTTGAAGGCAGAAAGTAGATCTTTATTATCTATCCCTGGAGCTCGCAAAGTGCCCAGTACAGAGGTGGGGCTCAATAAACATTCAGGGAACAAACACACATGGTAGATAATACCTGTAGAGAGGTCTGTCCCCAGGCGTAAATAGATGTAAGGCTAGAGACATATAGGTGATAATGTAGATGTAGATAAAAACATATAAATTATCTGAGACTAGATCAGAAGTAACACATATTTAACAAAGGGAGGCCTCTTCAAAGGAGTAATACGACATACTGAGCACTCAGTACGTGTGTTATGTGTAAAATATACGGGCCGGATACTGTGCTACAAGCATTTCGTGCATTTTCTCATTTCTTTTTCCAAGATCCCCAAGACAGCCACTATGAATACTCCCAATTTTTAGATGCAAAAAACAAAGAGAAAATAATTAATTTGTCCCAGTAAGTTACAGAGCAAGTATACGAACCCAGGCGCTCTGACTCCAGAGGGTGGGGCCTTAGTCACTCCATGCTATTGCCTCTAGACCAGCATCCATTATTCAGAGCATCGATCTAAACCAGAAGTCACTTTTCCAACAAGCCAGATAGATTAACTTCATTTATATTTCTTTTTCTTACCTCCAAGAGTCTTCCTTGTCAACTAAGCTCAAACTTCATGGTGTCATTTCTGTCCTTCATGTCTTTTATAATACAAAGCCCTATAAATCCTGACCTTAGAGTATCTTTTATATCTACCCCTTACTTTCCATTTCCACTGCCTACCTTCCCTGCAGAACAGTCTCCCAATGTTGTTTACGCATTCAGTGTCCTATGTTCTTGGGCAAGGAAGACCTTGCCTTGCCCTGGGGGTGATGGGTGGTGGAGAGTACTGATGAGGCTAACCAGTGGTTTAAATGGTGGCTGTACAGTGGAATCGCCTGAGTATCTTTTGAATAATACCAATACCTGGCCCCACAATTCTTTTAAACAGCTCTCAAGATTATTCTTCTGCTTGCAGGCAGGGTTAAGGACCACTGGACTAAGATAATCATGATAATCCCATAATGGAAACAGTTTTTGGCTGACACTTTGTCACCTCCCCAACTAGATCACAAGCTCCTGGAGGTCAGATCCCATGTTTGCACTGAACATCTGACAGACACTCGAAAAACTGCTGGCCAGGTGACTGATAGATCTCACAATAATCCCAATCACTTTTCTACCAGACACTAAAATTCAGTTCACTCATGAAAAAGCATCCACTCTCCTCCACTTCATCTTCATTTTTTAACATTCAAATTACAGGGAAATGCATTGTGAGAGAATACCTGATAATTCCTTTGGGAAAAGGGCAGTAATGAGATCAACCGAAGTCAGGTTAATCATAGTGAGGACAGAACTACTTCTCACGAGTTCTCTTCACCCCCTGCCCCTTCCACCCTTCTATGCTTGGCTTTCCTCATCACAACAGACAGCTCCAAAAGGTAACTATTCCGCTAAGTAAAACATGTCCGGCGCCATCTGTCACTACAACTCCACACGCGCGCTAACGGATGTCTTCTCTCCTTTCACACCGTGAACCAAACCTACTCTGTCCTGAGTGCGCCTCCAACGTGAACTGGCAACTCTCACTTTTCAGATCTATTACCCACTCCCACAATGTCCTGCCACCAACTCACAACCACTTCCACACACTATGTGAGGGCGGTTACTAAAATGAGTCTCCCTTTGGCAGCAGAAACCTCTTGGTGGATGTTTGCAAAGAAATGGTAGAAAACTAAGCAAACTATAAAGACTATACTGCAACTGCTTTTTCAGCTAACACATTATTTTAGAGATTATACCATACTCACATAAAGAGCTGCCTTATTGTTTTTAATGACTACATAGCATTCCACTGGCAGATCGGCAGATTACATGTATATAAGGGTTATTTACTGAAGTGGGGTTATGAAGGTAAAGTGTAGAAACCACCTACATGTAATCTGCCAATCTGCCAGTAACAAGGTAAACTCCTACAAGAGGACTTATTGGGCCAAAGGTTGTATGCTTGAAATTTTTGATAAATATAGCCAAACAGGTCTCTGCAGAGTTTGTACCAATTTCTGAGGATAGTTTTAGTCATCATCTTTCCTGCAGTCTACCACATTCCTAGGACCTAAAAGAGGGCCTGGTACTTGGCAGCTATTAATGAGTATTTGTAGCATGCTGAATAAATATCCTAAGGAGTCGGCAGTATTATAAACCCCACTTTCACAGGAGGAAAACTAGGCTCTATGATTTTGCCCAAAGTAACAGAGCTAATCAAGAGTGTGATCTGGAATCTGGCCCTTACGTTTCATTTTCTTTTCATTATGTCGCACTGCCTTGTTACAAAGCCCATTCCACATGAATGTTCTAGAAGCCAACGATCAAAATCTTACACATTATAGATATCTTCCCCATTAAGGAAATGCATTTTTTAAAAAAGCCACAGGTATCCAGAAAGGTCAACTGGACACAAGGTACAGTGATTACAAGATGGCCGTTTCCAAGTTCACTTCAAAGTGACAAGCCTAATATTAAAGTGACCCATTCTGACAGAAAATCATTTTCTAAGTGCCAGCAGCTAGAAAACAGGGCTATAAAGTCTTGCTAAATTCATTAATAAGGCAGTCTGCAGTTATCTGATTTCACAGCAACACCTGCATATTTATCTACTCATTACCAATTGGATGATGGAATTTTTTCAAGCACATTTCAAAAATCTGCCAACTTCAAGTGTAAAAAAATAAACTTTGTGGTTAATTTTTCCCTTAACAAAGTACAGCTGTTGAGAATAATTGTTCAAGATCTTACCCTGTAATGTCAACTGCAGCAGAACAAAGAGTATTTAATTAGCAAATCTATCCAGTAATTCAACACCTATTATATAAAATGCCTTCGTGATTTTATTCAGGATAATTTGCTAAGAGGGTTATTACTGACATTCAGATGGAATTTAAAATTCCTACGCAAGTCGAGTCATAATAGCAGTAATGATCTCCCCAATCAGGAGATTCGGTGTCACACGAGGCTCTCTTGCAATGCAGCAGCCCATTTCCTGACTTCTTAATTCCTGGGCTCAGCTCAGTGAGAGCCCTTCATGTCGGTATTTCAGTCAGCAATACAGCTTTAATGGGACTCTATTAAAATAACTAGAACAAAAATGACTTTTTGGGGGGTTAAAAAGAATGACAGCACTGCCATCATATCAATCATTGCAGGCTCTGCAGAACAGGGCGGGGTGGGGGGGCAGGAAAGGAGTGGGGCTGAGGGTGGGGAGGACAACAATTAAAGTAATACGAAAAGGTGTTTTAACCCCAATCAGAGCCGCCAAAGGCTGGGGAAGGGTGGGGAGAACCAAAAAGGAAATGTTAAGTGTATTGCAAAAACTTGCTTCCTGAACAGAATAACTGGATCAGGGATATAACCCACAACATGGTTTACTAAGCAGAGAGAGCACGTCTGTTGGGTCGGAGGTGAACAACAGTGGTGACCTGGGACCAACTGCAACCGAGGTGGGTGGGTACAGGTTCTCCTAGCAAGCCCAGGATAAAGCCAGGCTCTTTACTTTTCGCTAGAACAGAGTACTAGTGCCTTGCCATACGTTCATTCAAAGGTTATGAAATGTCTGTAGATGCTATTACAGACTGCAACAGCGCTTATTAATACTAAATGGGAGAAAACACCAACTTTCCAGTTAAAAAATGCCTCAAGCTCCTATTTCAAAAGTATGGATTTATTATACCAGTATCTACTAACAAGAAACCCACTTTGGTGTCTGATACAGAAACTAAACACAATGGAAATCTTCTAAGTGAAGAAAATGCTAGGTAAGGTCACATTCGAAACAAGTAACACATGAACAGAATGACAACTGAAATCTCAAATGGCTTTAGGATTCTTCTGTTAGTGATGACATAAAATTAGAAATAAACTGGAAAGTTTCTGAAATACACTAGCATGATAGGGGAGCAAAATGAGTGGTTTTGAAGGATAGGGGAGAGAAAAGAAATATAAATATTATGATATGTGGTATTCGGACCATTATCTAAGCTTTCCCTATTCCCAATTTCAGCAATTTCCAAGCAGGACTCAGTGTTACTCAGTTCTCCTGGTTGGCGAACATCTTTTATTTCATCTTATTAGATGGACTTTTTCCTATTTTCCTAATCTCTGTTATTCTTAGATGTGTGTCTTCTCTCTCTAAGATGCTCAAGGAGCAAGGCCTTTGGTTTAATAAGCACCCTACTTTGTCTCCACCATTCCTGTGACACTGGTTTCCTTACTGCCTTTAAAACTTGGCTTTACTCTCTTTAAAACCGGGATAACACTACCACTTAATTCCCTGAGCTAGGTGGGAATAAGAACTGTAGGCTGAAAACATGCTTTGCAAAGATAAAATGTTACATAAATGAGTTCAAAAACAAACAAACAAAAAAACCAAAAAACAACAAAAAACACAAGTCAGGGGTCTGAAATCTGAGTCCTGGTTTAAACTGCCAATTATTAATTAGCTAAGTGATGTGA